ACACCGGTGTTCCTTCATCAACACAACAGGGGAACTTAAGGAAAAACTTACACCAGAATCCTTTTTGGTGCAGTTGTTTAAGGAACCTCTTCTTGTATGAATTACAGGCAGAATGATTTGAATATTTTCAGAAGAGGAATCCAGTTTTATAAAGCCAGGTCCATCATAATTAATGAAAATGACAGTGTAATGATTTAGGTTGTAGTTAAAATGTCTGAGCTCACAGGGGAACAGATCTGGACATAGTTTGGGATCTTGTTCTTTCTTATAATAAAGAAAAGATAATTGTGAAAATTTTAATTACCATGTAGATCCGTTCAATAATTAATGAGAAATTCCAGCTGGGACCACAAAGCAGTGGACCGACCAGATATCCTGCATTCCCTTCAAAATGTTTAATCTCCTCGATCTCAAACAGTCACGTCCTGAAGAAGAAAAAAAAAAAGTTGAACTGGACTTTTTTTTTTGCACAGCAGTTCTTTGTGTAAACAATAAAACCCACTAACTGAACATCAGCAGCAGTTCAATGCATGAGAGGAGATTGTGTGTGTACGTGGTCTGTGTGTGTATTTGTGTTTCTCGTATGGCGGGTACATACATCTGTTTACACAGTCACACTGCAGGGATCCAACCGCCTTTTGAGAAAACATATATTGGTGCATTATTGATTGAAGACTTGGTTTAAGATTAGCTTTCATTCAGGGTAAAGGTTAGGCACGTAGCGCGTTGGCGTGTAGGTGAGTCCCCTATCAAGAGACGGAAACACAACTCTGGAGTAAGTGTGAGCCAGACAGAAAGTATGTGCATACTTTCTAAACCTTCCAGGGAAGTGTCAGACCACTTCGCAGTTTTAGGATTCCTCCACTTCCGATTGGCTGAACATCTGAAGGCATTTTCTTCGACCCTCGGGCTCATGGCTGAGAATACAGCAGAGGAGGTGACGAACCTGACGGAGAGGGCAGCACCCTAAAGAAAGAGAGGAAAAGAGGGGGAAACAAAGGAAACTGGAGAGAGAGAGAAAGACAGTAAGAAAGATCATAGAGGTGAGAGAGACAAATGAAGAAGGGAATGGGGGGAGGGGGAGGTTAAGGAAGTGAGAGGTTACTCTAGAGAGCTTTAGTTACGTAGGCAGAGAATACAAGGTGTCAAGAGAAAAGGATGTAGAGGTCACTTCATCCAAAGAGCTGTATTTTACTGTCACAGGGTGACAGGTGAGAGGGCCCAGGAGTTAAAAGGTGTAACAGAGATAAAGGATAACATGTCACTGAGAGGGTATGCGCTAAGAAAACAATGTAAGGTCAGTACCTTTGCTCAAAGAACCACTTCCTCAATAATGAAAGTACGATCCTTTTCTTTGCTGCATTCTCCAGTGAGCTACAAAAACTCCCAGAAAATCTGAGATATGGCAGTGATTCACCAGATTTATCTGTGTAGTAGTCACTAATTTGTACCGCAGGGTGTTAATGAGGTCAGAGAGGCTGCTGGAAGGAATGCAGAAGCTGGACACCGTTAGTCAGACCCTGATTCCATGTACAGTAATTAAAACAACATGCATGTCCAGATCAGTAATGGTGCAGGCTTTACTGACAGCAGGTGCACTGATCAGGCCAAACCAGTGCACCTCCGTTTAACCTTTTCCATTTTGGACTACCTCTACAGAATTCAGACCATATCTAGTGTTCAAACTGCCTCTATTTTTTAGAATTATCTGTTGGCTAAAATGCTCTTTATTGTTGCTTCATTTCTGTTGCATCAGATTCGGTGGGGTTACAGTTGAGAACTTCTATTTACCGACTCCTTGTTACACGGCTGTTATGTGATCTCCAATTTGCAGTTTTGATAATTGCATTTCAAAATTCTCCCAACAGTCTCTTATCCACAGAGCCCAAGGCTGTTTACCTTGGCCTCACAGTTGTGGCGCTTTTATTGACAGAATTTGGGAATGTTTTGTTCAGGGGGGGGATTTAACAAATAGCCCGGGGCTTTAAGGTGGAATTTGGAGACTCTAGAGAAAGATTGTTGATATTTGTCTGCGCTAGCATATTTAGACAGTGATCATGTAGCGGATTTAGTATTTCTGTTGCTTCCTCTACAACTGTCTTACCTCCCTTGCGTTTGATTTTGTTCTGTGTATCACCACGGTTGTGTACATGACAAGTATTAGTCTGAGCCACTTTATTTTTCTCCCATTTACAAAATCTGTGCGGTGTACAAACATTGGATAATTTTTTCGAGTGTTAGAACAAACCACTAGTGCACCATGAGGAGAGATTCATGTAGTTTGACAGAAAATGTTACAGATTAGAATCTCACATCTCTACATTAAATTTGTTTAAATGACTCTTTAATTGGACTTTTTTTGTGTAACCAATTTAGTCATTTGCAAGTTGTTTTTCCTTCTTTCTTTTAAATCATTTTCTTGCATAATTCGCCGCAAAGCTCACATAAATCACAAAAGGAGGTAAAAGCCGAGCAAAAAAAATTAAAAACAAAGATCTCACAGTGTCAATTTAGGTAACCAAATCCTGCAGATTTGTTGAGTTTATCTCACGCATTTAAACCGGCTTGTCTGCGTGACCGAGCAGAGATGAACCTTTGTGTTCAGTGAGCAGAGATTGAGCTCCGTCACCTCGTGACGCACCGATATTGCGTGCAAGACAGATTTGGCACAATAGCCAAATATGCTGCCAGCTCAGCCTACTCATTTAGATAATTCCTCTAAATTTCACTGCTTTGCACAATAAGGAGTGGTCACACCTACGGGACTCTTAAAGGACTCAGACTGCATTTAAAGGATTTTTTTTAAAAACCTTTGCATAAACCGCAGGTAACACTTGCACTAGTTTTAAAGGGATACGAGATCAAAGGGGCGCACTGTAGGCTGTAGATGGAGATGTGAATGTAAGAGACATGTTGCTGGACTATGTGAGGTGTCTGTTGACTAATTGCTGCTGCCCTCGGGGCACATGAGGTGTCGAGGGGGCAAAGGTCAAGGCTATCTATCAGGCTTGGGTGAAACTCATTCACCTGTCTCCAACCTCAGCAAGAGTAAATTTCAACCCTCTGAAGACGTTTTTTTTCTCACATATAGTCGTCTTGGACCAAAAAATAAAAAAATAAATTGTGTGACAAGACGCCTCTTTTGCCTATTTTTATTGGAAATAAAGTGTTGTTACAGTGCATGTTGAAAACAAAGTAAATAGCTGTTGTTATTAATAAGTCGTTTCTTAAGTTGAGGCTTCTGAGTGAGTGGGAGCCAGTGACACAAAACACACAAAGGCTCATTCATCAGTTGCAACACACTTATGAGTAAATCACTCCTGATGTGGTTTGACTTGGCTACAACTGTGTACAAGTGTCAATATTCGCCTCACAGTTGAATGATTGAAACGCATTCAACGTCGATGATTGGCAGCGCCAAAGAGGTGCACGAAAGTGATTAAAAAAAATGATAAAAGCCCTCTAATGGGCGTGATCGCCGGGATGCACAGCCCGTAGCAACTCTTAGGAAACAATCAAAAACAACCAGTGATCCACACAACAACAGACATTCCACTTTCACCACAAACATGCAGGCTGGGAGATGTGCATAGCTTCAGCAGATTATCTTTGAGAAGCAAAAATGTATTCCTCCCACCAGAGAACTTAATTAATAACTAGACTGCAGTAATAGCTAATAATAAAACCGGCAATAGACATGTTGGAAAAAGTGGCTTTTAGACTCTGAAGCAAAGAGGCAGAAGAAGCCAGTGAGAACACACGCACATCTTCCTGTTTAAATCTAAATTAATAACTGTTTTCTTTTGTCAGCGCTGCTTTATAGCATTAACATGACATGTGTTGTAAGCTGTTCGTGCACTGAGGGATAGTGATAAAATAATTGCTGAAAAGCATGTGTACACACTCGGAGAATCTTTTTTTTCTCACAGTCCTGGAAACCAACTTGACTTGGTTATCCAGTCTTAAAGCTTGGCCCGGAGTTATTGTGTCTCAGTCGCAAACATACACAAAATACTTCCCCCTGGAAATCTTCCAAAATCAGCTCATCTCATTTTACTAGCTGTGACAAACTTAGAAAACAACAGCAGCGACAGGTAGCAGGTTTCTGTGTGTCTGTTCGCGCTAACCTGCCTGTTGTGGGGACGTATAGAGTTTCCAGTGTGGATGAAACTCCCGTAGGAAACCAGTGAGTCCCATCTGTCTGGGGAACGCCTGAGGTGTAAAACCAGAGAAAGGTTCCAGCCACAACAGATAGCTGTCGCGCCTCTGGGGAGGATTAATGAGGATGCACCGGCCTGGGGTTCATATCGCATCTGTGGTGTCATGTGTAACTTTTGTGTAGTTTTTCGGTTAGGGGTGGGCAATCTGACAATCTTATATCATGTACGATCTTGAATTGGCATATGATCTAGTTTTTGGAGGAGTTGTACAGATTACATCATTATGGGCTTATGTATTGTATTTCGAAAGCAAGCAAGGTGTCCTCGATGTCATTCAGCTTCCTCTCCAGCAAGTTTATTGCCGTGCAAACAGACTACATATCCAGCGTCTTGGACTGCCGCCGGGGAGATTTGTCCTTGTTGTGCTCAGAAGACTAATTGCATCCAACCAGAACCTGAAACATGTTGAGAACTGGTTCATCTGCCACGATGCCAAGCTCATAACGTTAAATCCACTGCCAGGTGAAGTGAATAACCTTGATCGTGTTTATATAATCCAGTGTTCTGCTGGGAAACCTTGGATCCTAGTATTTATATAGCGTGCAGACCAGTTCCACCTGAAGGCCCTGCTGCCAACATCCCAGCACCACTTGCATTTAAAACACCTCCAGAGGTCCAGCATCCATGATCTGAAACTTCAGAGCATTTTTATTTTTATTTTTGGTCTTTCGTGCTTTTATTAGATAGTTTTTTAGTGAAGAGAGAGACAGGAAAGTGGGGGAGAAGAATGGGGGAAGGACCTGTAGCAAAGTGCCATGTAACTGGCTTGTGGCAGCCAAGCATTCATAGCGACGTCGCTTTTTGATTCTTCGATGTCGGCTCTTCCGATCATTGTGAAGCAGAATTCACCAAGCCTTGGATTGTTCAGCCACTAATAGGGAATGTGAGCTGGGTTTAGACCGCGTCATGAGACAGGTTAGTTTTACTGAGGACGTGTTGTTGCAATAGCAATCCTGCCCAGTACGAGAGGAACTCATGAGCCGGATTCGAACTCACTACCACTGTGTCGGGGACTTTAGCCCCTGTACGGGACGCCAGCTCAGCCAGGTGAGCTATCGCGCCCAGCTTCAGAGCATTTTTGGCACTAGAAGGGGGGGCTGCTTATTTTTAATTGGTTTTAATTTTGTGGCAGACCAGTGTATATTAGTAGATTAGATTAGATTAGATTAGATTAGATTAGATTAGATTAGTTTAGAAAGTCTATTGTCCCAATTTGGGCAATGTGATTTGCAACAGCAGTCGACAATGAAATTCATATTATAAAACAGTACAGTACAATCCATAGAAACATAGATATGAATAATAAATGTCATCAGGTGAGTTATCATGACCATAAATGTCGCCTATGGTGCAAGGCCACGAGCCTAAAGCAAGCACGCCTTCTTACACTGCAAATAGTCTGGGACTTCCCAAGATTTCAAATCTTATTTTTAGACACGATAGATAATTTGGCTTGTTTTAAAAGTTATTTACTCATTTTTAGTCCTTGATTTTACAGTACAATCTTAAATTGAGCATTAAAAATCTTATTTCAAGATTTCTTATCAAGTAAAATTTACTTTCTGCAGTGCATGGACAGATAATTTCACTAGTTTGAAGTCATTTTCTTCTCAGATTTAGTGTTTATGTCTTATATTTGGGTTGCCCTTTTTTGCAGTGTAGGTACTTCGTATTAACGCTACATCCTATTTTCCTATTTAATCCCATACTGCAGCCGTGCATGCTGCATCAGCCCCGTTGCTAGATAAGAAGGCCTCCTTTGCACGACTGCAAACGGTGATTTACATCCAACACCAACAACATCTGGCATGGCAACTCTGTTATGGTTACTAATATGTTTTTGTTATGTTATCTGAGTCAATCAAGCATTTCCAAATAATCGTGGAATAAGTTGAACATCTTTCTATCTCAGTTCCTTGTGTTTCTTTTTCTGTTTTCTCGGGTTACAGGGAATGTTTGAGATCCAGCCCATCCCAGCATGCACCAGGGGAAGACGCTGGCTAGGTCAGCAATTAAAACCCAACATGCCAACAAACACTATCCCAGTTACACGTGGGCCCGCAGGCGTTTCAGAGCTTTAAAGTGACCCAGCCCACATGTCTGCAGAAGGAAACAGAAACAACAGGACTTTCCCTCTGAGAGGCAACATCGCTAATCGATGAGTCACGCAACTGCCCTTACTGTAAAGCACAGCGTATCATGTGTTTATGATTCCCACGTACAGTAACTGAATTTACTTTCGAGTTTATTTGCTTTCTTTTATGAGGATGTAAAAGAAACAAGACAGAGTTCCCCTCAGTGTGAAACTGGATCAGCTGTGGTTTGTCTGTAATGTGAAAGTAAACGAAACTAAGCATAGATAAATGAAAAACCTACTACAAAATGTTTAATGGCGGTTTGGTTTTTATTGTAGTGTAAGCGTAGCACAGACGTAATTTACAATGGCGGCCTCGTAAAGAGCATTTAAAGTGCAGTTGTGGCAGGAGTGTTGTGCTTCTCCATCAACATGTTGCAGCAGTTTGTGGTTTATCCCAGAAGTCCAGCTCAGAACCGCTGCTGATTGTTGTTCAGCTCGAGGCGTTGCGTGACCAGATTGCCGCTTTTATAGCTGTTGCATCCGAGAGGCGATCGAGATGGATCGAATTCCAAGTGCTCGAACCACCTTGGGAGCAGTCGAGTCGGCTAAAGGTTCTAAAAGTGTAAATGCATCTGAGCTTTAGAATATGACTCTCAAGTGTAAGTACATCTTCATATAGTCTCTTTACTATGCCCTGTGGTTAAAGCAGCTAAAGTTGCACTGCTGTTACAGGAAAAGTCGCTGTTGTTCTTAAGACGGTGCAAAAGAGACTCCAGCTACAATCATACACAAGCTGCACTCAGCTGTTGTTTATCTGATACCTGATCTTTGAGTTGTTGGTGTGACGGAGCAGTGATCTGGGTGGACGGAGGATCGCAGTGAGAGTCAGTGAAGACAATGAAGCTCATGTTTCACTTGAAATTCTTAAACGTAACTCATCCATCTTTTATTGGCCCATTTGTTAGCTTGCGAGCTAGTCTGGCTAACACAGATGCATAAATGTGTGGAGGCGAAAGTCTGTAATCTGGATTTTACAGCGATATATTTAATATAAAACTTTATTAATCCCAAAGGAAGTTCTGGTGTCAAATGTTCAGAAGAATTTAGAGTAACACGAGAAAAAGCCAAGAGTAGTAAATATGTGTGTAGTGATTCAGGGTAAATAGTTTACTTGTAAGTAGGGATGCACGATATATCGGCGACCGATATTGGTGTTTGTTCTGATATATCGTTATCGGTCCGATGATCAGATTTAGCCAATGTGAAAAACCGATGATTGTCTAACATTAGCACCTTCGTCTGTATGTTTGATATTCCTGCTACAGCACCCTCCATAATTATTGGCACCCCTGGTTAAGATGTGTTCTTTAGCTTCTTGTAAATTCATTTTTTTTCTAAATAATATAAGACCACAATGAAAAAAAAAGAGGAAAATTCAACCTTTAATTCAAGTGCATTTATTCAGTGTGAAAAAAATCCCACATTAAAAAAGAATTATTTTACATCAAATCATGTGTGCCACAATTATCAGCACCCTTGATGTTAATACTTTGTACAACCCCCTTTTGCCCACAATTCATTTGAGTTGAGTTGAAGGTGACATTTTTCTATGTGAGAGTATGCTTCTGTAATAAAAACTGAACTTATCTTAAGGCTTTTAACACATCTTAACCATAATAATCATTATGGAGAGCGCTGTATTTCACAGATGTTTTTACTTAAATGGTCCTGGACTTGAAATATGTTAAAATATGTTTAAATGTGTTTTACTTTTGTTACGTAATAAAGAAGACTGTGGTCTAGTTTGGGCTTCTTCTGAATAGTTTTCACATTCTCACAGTGCTTACTTTTACTAATTTTTCGGTGTGAACAAAAATTGAATATCGACGTCGGTAATATCGGTTATTGGCGATATCAGAAATCTCAATATCGGATATCGGTATCGGCCAGAAATTTTAATATCGTGCATCACTACTTGTAGCTATGATACATTTAGTGAAAATAAGTCAAATAGGAAAGTAAAACTGGTAGTGATACTTTTTTGTGATGTCTTTTTTAATGTAATGTTGCACAACATGATAAAGAAATAATGCGCATTATATTGAAATGTTGCATTCATTTTAAATATTGCTCCCTATTTTTTTCCTATTGCACGTGGTACTGAACCTGATACCACATGTAATATTGAGAAAATAGAGTTTCAGCTGACATTCCTGCAGAAAGGAGAGGAGTTTTACAGTTGGATGGTGGAAAAGACTTCCTGTGCTGCACCTTCCTGGTCCCAGTCTACGTCTGAAACTGCTCTGATGAGGGGATGTGAGGCGTTGTCCGTGATACTGAGTGGTTTCCTCAACATCCTCCTCTCTGACACCTCCGCTGAAGACTCCAGCACCACATTTCCTGATGAGCTTGTCGAGTGCAGCTGCCTTCACCCTGCCGCCTCAACACACTGCAGCGTAGAAGACCCGCCAACATTTGCAGCGTGGATCTTCATCTACCGACAGAAAAAAACAGGACTCTAAGATCCTTCAACACCTGCAGAACCATGTCATGTAAACGGGGCCTAAGGTTTGCTAAAGATTAAGACTTGATTAGATTCCTTGCTAAGACAATGGGACGTGATGCGTCATGTAGGCCACACGGAATATAAATCCGAAAGCTGTTTGCCGTGACACCTGTCTCACTTTTATTTCTATCGTCTAGATTTCAGAATAGGTGGATTGTTTTTCTAGTGAGGAAAATTTTGTCATGCGATCAAAACATAAACAAACACAGGCGCAGATTTCCTGGAAAGATGCATTCGAACAAAGTCATTGTAATAAATCTAACTATTTATGTAGGCCTGCAAAAAGCACATTGCGTCCAGTTCCAGCGGTTTCAACCATCTGAGGCACGCATGATTTATTACTGTGGAAACAATCACATCTTTTTCCTTGTTTTTTTTGGAGCATTTACCTCCACCGTTTTTTCTCCCCGCGCTTTCGATGACTCATCACTGATTTAAGAGATAGAAGTTTTTGTTGATATCATTGTTGAAATGTTCACTTTGCTTTCCAAGGAGCTGCATTACGTATGAGAGCAGCCAACATGTGACGGGATGAAGGGATAGGCATAACACAGCACTGCCCAGCACGCTAAGATGAGTCACGTCCAATGGCAGAACGCTCCTTTGTCTGGCTCTCAGACACACGGCTTGCACCACCCAAGAATATGGTGTCTTTGGCGTTATTGTACACTCTGTTCTGTGCTGTCATAAGTAAATAATGGAGAACGGCAATTTTGGTGTTAGCTGATTGTGTGCTACACGTTACCTGGATTAGCTGGTGCTGTCATCCATCTGGCAAAACGCACCTTTAGAAAGCTTTCTATTGGATTCCTGGACTTCAGCCACAGATAAGCTCATCAAACCAAATTCTCTTTAGATTTACACAATTATACAGTCGTCCTCAAATGTATTCAGACCCTTACATTAATAAAAAGGCAAAATTCAAAATAGTCACTCAAATAACTGGAAACTAAAAAAAGTAATAATACATAAAAATTTGCTAAATTATAATTTAGTGAAATAAGACATTGCTTTTGAATTGTGGTTGAAAAGAATAATTAAAATAAATAAACTGTCCCAGACAAATTAGAGCACTTTGCTGATGAGCAGTGAAATCTAAACACCTGTCAACAGGTGCAGAAGTCTGACTGAGAGTTACACAAAACATCTGATTGCAGTGATTGGCTCAATGTCATGGTTTTCATTCAATTTTTTATTTATTACTACTTTTGTCA